TTAATTGGTGAGGCAGTGGCGCAGTAGGTAGTGCTGTCGCCTCACAGCAAGAAGGTCGCTGGTTCGAACCTTGGTTTTTCTGTGTGGAGTTTGCATGTTCTCCCTGCCTTTGTGTGGGTTTCCTCCGGGTGCTCCTGTTTTCCCCACTGTCCAAAGACATGCGGTACAGGTGAATTGGGTAGGGTAAATTGTCTGTAGTGTATGAGTGTGAATGAGTGTGTGTGGATGTTTCCCAGAGATGGTTGCCGCTGAAAGGGCATCCGCTGCGTAAAACCTTGCTGGATAAGTTGGCGGTTCATTCCGCTGTGGCGACCCCGGATTAATAAAGGGACTAAGCCGACAAGAAAATGAATGAATGATTAAATTTAATGTATGAACAGAAATAGAGATTTTTAAACCAAAAGATCCTGTGTCCACACACATAATAATAAAAATGCTACAGTAACTAAATATACAAGGTTTCTGAACCATACTATCATACTGCATATATTACTCGAACCGATGCTCCACATTCTGTAGTATTAACTGACATACTGTTATAAATACAACAGTATATATTTAGTTTTTACTACATTAAACTGTGGAGTATTTTGGTAGTCTCCAAAAAACACAGCAGATGCCCTTCCAGCTGCAACCCAGTACTGAGAAACACCCATACATACTCATTCACACACACACACACACACACACACACACCTCACTCCTCTGACCTCTAATGCCCCATTCACACAGGGCGTCAGCGGTTCCCATTCACTTTAATGGGTGACGTCAGACGTTGCCGAACGATGTTGGGTGGCGTAGGACAGGTGGGGGTTACATTGGTGCCGTGACCCGGATGGGAGTGAGGTTGACGTCTAAAGGTGCTCTAGGGACAGACACTAGGGGTCATGGTCTTTAGCCTCCTTGGTAGAGTGACCAACTCCCATGCGGAAGGTTGTCGGTTCGATCCTAGCTCGGAGCGGGTTGGGTGGGGTAGGAGCAGCGGGGTTACATATAGTCAAACATCATTCACCTTATTCTCCGCGGACGCAGCCATTTGAATCTTTTTGGCTCGAGACTTCCAGTCTCATTCACTTCCATTCATTTTTAGACATTAAAAACTGCTCGTTTTGTTGTTTGATGTTGCAAACTGATATTTTCCTATTATATTATTCTACTTGGTCTGTATAGTCATGCAAACACTTGTTTGTAGAGCGAGTAGTTTGACCATTTTCTGCTGTTTATTATTCCTAAGTCCAGCAGAGTGTGTTAGTTATGCACCTATACAGGTTCAAATGCTCACACACTGCTGAATACACACACGATGAACAGCAACACACAAATATCTTTACAGATGAACACAATTAAAATGATTCAGAAATGATAATTTTCTACATCAATATAAACAGCACTGCCTCCATGCCTTCTTCACCTCGTGGGGCTTTATCAGTTTATTGATGACGATCTGCATCTGTATAATGTGATTATTATGATCAGGATTATTGATTATATGCAGATTTATATCAGTTTTAATAAACACAAGTGTAGATGTGTCCAGCTGTGGGGTTTTGGAGACGTCTGCATCAGCATATGTGGATAAGAACAGGACGTGTGTTTGGATATAACTCAGTTTTCTGACCACACTTCATTATTATTGTTCATTTAATTCCTTTGCTGGAGATTAGAACTGAAGTTAGAAATAGTTTTGACACAAATCTTTGCACTTAACAAAGGAAATTAAATAGGTGGGCTAATGGATGTGTTCAGTTTCCACCGTTTCCTCAATCCACCAAAGTAAAGGAGTAAAGTAAAGGAGTAAAGTAAAGATGCTGAATGGAGGAGGCTCGTTCTTTATCCTCGCGCTGCAGATGCTCTGTTTAACTGTTTTCTCGCTAGTGAATCGTTTAGTTTTTACACTTATAAAGGTGCCATGTAAATACCAAATGCACCATGGAGCAACACAACTGACTCTTAAAGGGAATGAGAGACGAGATTCTGATTGGTTTAATGCAGGTTATGCTCAAAACACACCCAGAACTCATTAAGAGAATAAACACAGCCCTGTTAGACCATGCGCCAGCGCACAAAGCGTATTTTACCATCTTTAAAATAGCAGAAGTGGATTCAGACATTTAGGGTGGTGTATTCAACTTTAAATGTAGCACACACTCGAGTAGTAGACAATTTCGAACGCAATCTGTTGTGGTGATTATACAACTAACATAAACAAACGAGCCTTGCTAGGACTTTGCTTCTATATAGTGTTTTACTCAGCCTCTTATAGGACCCTGTGCAAGCGTGTGTGTCCAAAAGTGTTAACTTATAAGGGACTGTCCCTCGTAAGCTGACTAACACACACAATTCCCGAGCAGGTGAAAAGCAGAGCAGGGGGAATTCATCGAGGGCCACCCGCACACACTCGACGGGCGCTCAAAAGCAGCCGATAACCAGCTCAGCCTCTTCACAGCCGCTCGCAGCTCCTCGTGTGCAAGGAAGTGGAGGCTTTTTCTGAGAATTGAGAGTCGATGCAGCGGGAGGAAGGATGTGGAGCAACAGACCGTTTCGCGTGAGACTGAACACTAACGTTATTGAGGAGTTCAGTGGAAACGGGTTCGGGTGTGTGTGTGTGTGTGTGTGTGTGTGTGTTTGTGTGTGTGATGGGCTGAAAGACAACAGCGAGGAACAGCTACAACAGGTAAAGTCTCTCTCTCTATGTTTGCGTGTGTGTGTGTGTGTGTGTGTGTGTGTGTTGAGCTAAAATACAACAGTGGGAAACTATTAGCTACAAAAGGCAGAGTCAGTGTGTATGTGTGTGTGTGTGTGTGTGTGTGATAAGCTAAAAGACAACAGCAAGAAAAACTTGGTTACAACAGGTTGTCATGGTGTGTGTATGTGTGTGTTGAGCTGAAATAACAACAACAAGAAACATCTAGCAACAAGTAGATACTCAGAGTGTGTGCGCATGTTTGTGTGTGTGTGTGTGTGTGTGTGTGTGTGTGTGTGTGTGTGATGAGCTAAAAGACAACAGCGAGTAACACTGAAAGCACATGGAGATGAAGTAAGTCATTTTCTACATTCGCTGTCCTATTAGACTGTAAAGAGCAGGTAGCGGGTTAAAGGGACAGTTAGGACGATAGTTAGGGGGGTTTGGACGATTCTAAGGGCCCATGTACTGTATGGCCATGGTACAGTTTTATTAGCCATAAAATAGTATTTTAAATATAAATACTAATAATAATAATGAAAGAAATAATAATAAAGAATTAATAAATTAAAGAAAGAAAAAACAAACAAAAAGAAAAAAAAAATATTAAATTAAAATGTAATTAATTATTAGTTCAAATATTTAAAGAAACAAACAATGAAGAAAAACTTCAAATAAAAAAATAAAGAATTACTAATTTAAAGAAAGGATTAAACAAACAAACAAACAAACAAACAGCGAATTATCAAATTAAAGTATTTAAAGAAAGAAAGAAAGAAAGAAAGAAAGAAAGAAAGAAAGAAGAAGAAATGAATAAAAAAATATTTAATTAATAAAAAATAAAACATTTAAAATAAAAAAGAAATAATTAATAAATCAAAGAAAGATTTAAATGATTTAAATGATGAAAGAAAGAAAGAAAGAAAGAAAGAAAGAAGGAAAGAATAAAAATAGAATAAAAAATAAAGTATGAATAAATTAAAGAAGACATTAAATTATGAAAGAATTAAAGAAAGAATAAAAAATAAAGAAAAAAGAATTAACGAAAAAAGAAAGAAAGAATAAAACATTTAAAATAAAAAAGAAGAAAATCAAAGAAAACATTAAATATTAAAATAATTAAATAATGAAAGCAAAAATAAAAAGAGTGAATTAATAAATCAAATATTAACAATTAGAAAGAATAAAAACATTTAAATGAAAAAAAGAAAAAAAATCATCAAATATTGAAAAAGATGAATAAAAACATTTAAAATAAAAAGAAGGAATTAATAAATTAAAACATGATTATAGGAATGAAAGAAAAAAATAAAGAAAGAAAGAAAGAGTTGAAAACATTTAAAATAAAAAAGAAAGAATTAATCAAAGAAAAGATTAAATAATAAAAGATAAAAAATGAAAAAAGAAAGAATCAATAAATCAAATATTGAAAAAATGAATAAAAAATAAAAAGAATGAATTAATCAATTAAAGAAAGGATTAAAGGAATGAAAAAATAGTGAAAGAAAGAATAAAACCATTTAAAGCAAAAAAGAAAGAATTAATTCATTAAAAAGGATTAAATGATGAAAGAAAGAAACATAATTATTAAATTAAAGTATTTAAAGAAAGAAAGAATAAAAAATGTAAATAGAAAACTAAAGATTTAATAAATTAGAAAAATTATTAAATGATGTAAAAGAATTAATTAATCAATTAAAGAAAGAATTAAAGGAATGAAAGAAAAAAATTAAGAAAAGAAAGAAATAAAGAATAAAAAACATTCAAAATAAAAATGAATTAATCAAAGAAAGTATTAAATAATAAATTAAATTTTGAAATAAAGAAAGAAACAAACATTTAAACGGGGAGAAGTATTAAATTAAATTAATTATTATTAATTAAAATATTTAAGGAAACAAAGAAAGAAAAAAAGAATAAAAAGATCAAAATAAAAAAGAAAGAATTAATCAAAGAAATGATTAAATAATAAAAGAAAGAAAGGAAGAAAACATTTCTTTTCTCTTCTTTTTCTTTTCTTCTCTCTCTTCTTTCCTCCTGATGTGTGTTTTCGGGGACTGTAGATTATTGTGCGCTCTCCCCTGCTCTGACATCAACACACTGAACCCTCAGCCTGTGTCCAAAGAGTGTGGAAGCTGCTGGGGAATCCCCCAATCTGCATGAACAGGAGAGACACTTTCACTTCAGCTGAATCGAAAGCAGCACACACACACACACACACACACACAAACACACTCACACACAGTCGACTGAGGACAAGTGTTCATAAAGCATTGGTAAGACGGTTATAAGCTGCTGTGAGTGTGTGTGCTGACATGACGTGATCTGCAGACTCAGTACTCGGTGTAGAGTCTGTGTGATTCAGAAGAGCAGCTACATCTGAATACTGGGTCAGTGGAGACGTCACACGCTACCCGCACACACACACAGACACTCCACAATCACACACGCTACACACACATTCTGCAAACACACACACACACATCTCCTTTATTCCTGTCTGATTCATTCATTTTCCTTCAGCTTAATCCCTTTTTCATCAGGGGTCACCACAGCAGAATGAACCGTCAACTATTCCAGCATATGTCGTACACAGCGGAGGCCCTTCCAGCTGCAACCCACTACTGGGAAACACCCATACACACTCTAGTGTAAACTAGTTTAGTTGATCAATTCCCCTATAGCGCATGTGTTTGGACTGTGGGGGAAACCGGAGCACCCTGGAGGAAACCCACGCCAACACTGGGAGAACATGCAAACTCCACATAGAAATGACAACTGACCCAGCCGGGACTCAAACCAGTGACCTTCTTGCTGTGAGGCGACAGCGCTACCGTGTTCCTTTCTTTCTTTCATTATTTCATCTCTTCTGTCTCATTGGGTTTGGTGGAGCGAGGAAGCCTCGCGTTTAGTTTTTGAAGGAGGAATCATTTTCTCCCCGTACAATTTCAGTTCAGTTGTTTGATTTGTTTTGTGGTTGTAAATCCAGAAGTGAAGCTGCTGTTTTGTATTTATGTTCTTTGTTTTCCTCTGTTATTATGTGGTGATGTGCTTGTCCAGTAGAGAAGATGCTCAATAAAGTGCTTTGCAAAGATCAAGTCGTCACCTTGTCATATTAAAGGGTCTGTCTGCGTTCTGAATGATTTTGAGATATTGAACTTCAAATCTTTGGCGCTAAATATAATAAATGAATGAATGAAGGTGGCCATGAATGAATATGTTTAGAAATGTATTAATGAATGAATGAATTAAAGTAGGAATAAATAAACAAATTAATGAATAAAGGTAGAAACAATTCAATGAATAAAAAATATTGAGGAATGAATGAATGAATGAATGAATGAATGAATGAATGAATGAATGAATGAATGAATGAATGAATAAAAACAGAAATAAATGAACAAATGAATGAATGAAGGTAGAAACAATTCAATAAATGAATTAAGGTAAGAATGAATGAATGAATGAATGAATGAATGAATGAATGAATGAATGAATGAATGAATGAATGAATGAATGAATGAACATAGCAATGAATCTATGAAGGTGGTCATGAATTAACAAATTTAGGAATGAATGAATGAAAGTAGGAATAAATAAACAAATGAATGAATGAAGGTAGGAACAATTTAATAATGAAAAAAGGTAAAAATGAATGAATGAACATAGGAATTAATTAATGAAGGTAGTCATGAATGAACAAATTTAAGAATGAATGAATGAATTAAAGTAGAAATAAATGAACAAATGAATGAATGAAGGAAGGAACAATTCAATAATGAGTAAAGGTGAGAATGAATGAATGAATGAACATAGGAATAAATGAATAAAGATAGTCAAGAATGAACAAATTAAAGAATTAATTAATTAAAGTAGGAATAAATTAATAAATGAATGAATGAAGGTAGGAACAATTCAATAAATGAATTAAGGTAAGAATGAATGATTGAATGAATGAATGAATGAATGAATGAATGAATGAATGAATGAATGAATGAATAGGAATAAATGAAAGAAGGTATTCAGGAATGAATAAGCTTAGGACTGAATGAATGAATTAAAGAAATAAATGAACAAATGAATGAATGAAGGTAGGAAATTTTCAATGACTGAATAAAGGTATGAATGAATAGAAAAAAATGAATAAAGGCATTCATGAATGCATAAATTTAGGAATGAATGAATGAAAGTAGAAATAAATAAATGAATGAAGGAAGGAACAATTCAATAATGAATAAAGGTAAGAATGAATGAATGAATGAACATTGGAATACATGAATAAAGGTGGTCATGAATGAATAAATTTATGAATGAATGAAAGAATGAATGAATGATTGAATGAATGAACTAAAGTAGGAATGGATGAACAAATGAATGAAGGTAGGAACAGTTTAATGAATCAATAAATGTAGGAATGAATGAATTTTGAAATGAACAAAGGTAGTAATGAGATAAGAATTCATTAAGGTAGAATAAATAAATAAGAATAAAGGAAGGTATGAATGAATGAAGGCAGAAATGAATGAATTGAAGGAAGGCAGGAATAAATAAATAACCTAATGTTTGTATAAATAAATAAAAGTAGAAATTAATGAATGAACAAATAAATAAAGGTAGGAATTAATGAATTAAAGTTGAAATGCACGAGTGAATGCATTAATGATAAAAGGAAACCCTCATTTAAATGCATGTACATTTACTGGAAGGTGCAGAACATTAACAGAGGTTATGATTGTGTGACTCCTAACATCATCACCATTGAAACACGATTTTATATTCTAAATTAGGAATCGTAATTTAGTAACAGATATTTTAACAATTATTAGTCTACTTTTATTTATAATTGTTAATGCTACATCAATATTTTAAAATCAATCAACCATCTTTTTTTAAATGCACAGGCAAATAATTATGAAATCGCTTAATTTAAAAGCATTGTGACTTTTTTAATTACTGTGTAATAAAGCACACATAGATATACATAAACACAAGGTAATAAATAAGCAGGAACTGCTCAGCTTTCTATTTCTCCACTGAAATGTCTTCAGTTTTTCTCAGGTCTTTGCCTCTTCACTGATGACTGAAACCTCCAGGATATCGACTTCAGTATTCAGATAATAACAACCTATATTTAACGAGTCTTTATTTGATAATAATTACCATATGACATACAACAATATTAACATTTTACTCATACCTTTTACTCTTTGTGCGCTCAGTAACGTTGTGCTTATTAAAGATAAAGTGTGGTTAATATTAAATCTGTTAAGCAAATATTATATATACATTCACCCTTTCAGCAGCGTCACCGAACATGGTATGATCCATTTCAGGGGTGGCCATATTTAAAACATCCACCAAAGCCATACAAATCTCTCTCTTTCTGTAAATCTCCCAATATTTACATACACAAACACGCATATTTAAGTCTTTCGACTCATATTTATGGTTTCTTTCGTTTTCTTTTCTTTTATCTCATTTCTCAAATAGAAAGATCTGAATGCGTCACGTGACGCGCAGGATGCGCAGCACTCTATCGTCCGGACGGAAAACGAAAGAAAATGTCTGAGAAGGGTAAGCACAACGCCTTTCTTTCTTTAATGACTGTATACACATATTAACGAGGGTGTAATTAAGTTATTCCTTCATTCTGACATCATAATAACCTACGTATGTTTCCCGAAAGTGCTTCAGATCTACATAACTCGTAGAGACGCACGCTGTAACATGTAGCAGAAGTTACAGTAAACTCGCAGTGCTCGTCAGTTCGCCGTTCAGCTCACATAAATAACGATTCTCACGTTTAAAACAGAGTATAAAGCGTAACAACAGGCTTATTGACGCAATAACATAAACAAAGGCACATGCAAAACCAGTTGAAATGCTTGTGGTGTGAGTCATATTACAGACACACCCCTCTGTATTACACACAAATGAACATTAATCTGCTCACTTTAGTGAAAGAGGGATATAAACACATCATACAAGAGTGACTGAAGCTCTCCTGTCAAGGACAGAGAAACATTGTGGTTGGCAGGCTGAATTAATCAAGGCCAAATGCCTTCAGTATACAAGTAAAATCTCCAAAAGCAGCTCTGGAGGTCTGATAATCTTAGTTTTTACTGGACTGTGTGTTAGTGTGAGTGTTTGTCGAGTCATGACCACTCATGATCCAGCGCTTCAGAGTGTGAAAGCGATACCGGGCTCTGTCCGTCTGCAGGAGTTGTGCTATTTCTGAGTCTGGCTTATGTCTGGAGTCCAGCAAGGTCACTTCATTGGCCAAGGTTACTGTCATGTAAACACTCAAGACTGCCCACAGCTCTTACACACACACGGTAATGATTTATATACTGTAGAGAGACCCAAACGCTGCACCTAAACCCAAGCACTGAGGTAAAGTTGGTTTTATATTCGCACGTTGAGACGTTCTCCTTAATAATACCATTTCAGAAAAGCATTATTTGCATATTTTAAATAGGGAGATCATATTATCAGCCAATGACTATCAAAGTATTTATAAATCAGGGGTTCCCAAACTAAAACACCCCTAAAATAACAATGCCAGTGACTCGCGACTCCCAAATACCTCTGAGGTGGTTATAAACATATAAACTTTGCACACACAACAATAGGCCTTTATTAACATTTGCATATTGACAACACAAAAACAGGCAATAAACTAACAACCATATGATTTATATAGTCATTTTGTTTAATTTAATATTAACCTCATCTAATGAGACACTTTCAGCACAAGTTGGTTTAATTTTGGAGACCGCCACTCAGAGATCATCCTCAGTGTTCAGTTGTGGCCTGTATTCATTATTCATGTATTTGACTGCCATACAAGTGTGTCAGAAAGTTTAACCTGCTGCTATAAATAGCTGACGCTATTGCTGTGTTGTTAATCTAACGTAAACACACCGATCCTATGAAACAATATTGGGAGGCTGATGGCTTTTCAGTTGCATGTTGTTGTTTTTTACCATTAACTACTATTTTTATGGTTAAAATAGGGTAATTCTAATAGTTTAATAACATATACAGTTGAAGTCAGAAGTATGAGCCCCCCTTTGAATTTGTTTTCTTTTTTAAATATTTCCCAAATTATGTTGAACAGAGCGAGGAATTTTTTAAACTATGTCTGATAATATTTTTTTCTTCTGGAGAAAGTCTTATTTGTTTTATTGCGGCTAGAATAAAAGCAGTTTTTAATTTTTTAAACATCATTTTAAGGATTTTTTAAACACCATTTCTAGCCGAAATTAAACAAATAAAATTTTCTCCAGAAGAACAAATATTAGAGGAAATACTGTGAACAATTCCTGAATCTGTTCAATATCAGGTGGGAAATATGTTAAGATTTACAGGAAGGCGAGTAACTACGAATTCACTTGTGTATGTGATCTAAAAG